CCCAGGTTGTGGGCTCGATCCCCAGAGTGGGGCATGCAGGAGGCAGCAGATCAATGATTCTCTCTCATCATTGACGTTTCTATCTCTCCCTCTCCCTTCCTCTCTGAAATCAAGAAAAACATTAAAGAAAAAAGAAAATAAGCAAAGAACCCTTAGAAGTAGTAAACAGGTTGTTTTGTTGGCTTCTCTCTTTGGATGAGTTCAAGGTACCAAAGATTGTGTCTTCCCCTGTGCATGCTCATTTGGTTGATTTCGAAGACAGAAGGGTTTCACCGCTGGGGATTTGGAGTCTTTGGTGAAAGATGAGAATGGGGCCTTGACTTGCTTCACCACACTAGCCTTGGTGTGCTATCCTCCTGTTCTCAGCCCATCTCAGGGACGTCCTCATCCTCAGAATCAGGTTCTCACAGCAGCACAGCTTTGTCAAGACCCTGAATGTCCTGTCTCTTGTTTTGGGACATATTTTATTCTGCACTGATCTCAAGCAAAAAAAAAAAAAAAAATTTAGGAGAACTATTAAAGGAGACCATCTGAACCAGAAAATTTGGGGGCAGATTAATTTTTTTTCAAGCACTGTCTAATGTTAATTTATGCGTGGGTTGTGGGTTTATTTGTTCAGTAGCATTAGTGCAGGAAGGTGATCGAGATTTCCTTTTGTGTCTCTGGGAAGCAGTACATCTCGTTGTGTACCCAGTGTAGAGTTAATTCAGGCCTTAATTGTATTATGCAAAGGGTGGAGAATTTAAAATAAAAGGGTTTCAATGATTCTGGGAACATGCATTTATTACTGTGATGAAAGAGCCATTTCTCCCAGTCCCCATTTGCTGCCTTGTTTCAGTGCTTCTCATCTCCAATGAATCACACAGGCTGGGACCTGGTCCCTTGACTGAAATGGATGCTGTAGGTTGCCTAATACAGCTTCCAGCTTAGGGCTTTCCTTTTTGACCATCATCTGGAATGTATGTCTTCCTGGAAGGGCATTCTTTTACTGCCCTTGGCCTGACTTCTACCTTGGACTCAAGAAGAATACATGAGTTTTTCCCAATATTCCTGGAAATGAGTCACACAAAAGAATTATGCCATTCCCATCCTAATAGAAGATAATAATAATAATAATAATAATAACAATAATTAATAATGCCATTGCAGCAGACACTGCCTGATCCACTCAGATCTTTTAGGATCTTCTATTTATTCACACAGTCATCCTTCCAATTCCCCCACTCCCCACAACCCCCCTTGTCCTGTTACTCTGCCCTTAGGGTACTCCAGGTGCTTTGCCTGCAGATGGTCCTATGATTTTGCATCCCATCCTTCATCCACTCCCACCATGACTTTTATTCAGTGACTGAGTGGTGCAGGAGTATGAAAGCTTATCGCCCTTTTTTTGCAAAGGAACGTGGAGAAATGCAAACTTTGAGATCCATGTTATACTGTGGTCTTCTCCTGAAGGACTAGGCTGAAACTGGGACTTTCCCTGAAAACACACCTTCTCTTGGCTCCTTCTCCTCCATGCCCTGCCTCTCCATTTCCTTCCAATGCTCTCTTATCTTTGTTTTGTGTCGGCTTCTGAAGAACCCCACCTAAGGCAACCACAACCTTTTAATTGAGCATTTAGTGCAGTTCAGTCACATTAAGTTATTTGATTCTCATAAGAACCCTTTGCAGTAAATCATGAACCATGGGCAACAGAAGAACACATTAGCCGATTTTTCCAAATAGCTAATAAATGTTGCAGCTGAGATTTGAACACAGACTCAAGCAACTCTAAGACCCATTCTCTGAATGTGTAACATATTTCTCTCAACAGAAAAAGTCTGTTACTAAGAGTCTATAGTTTTGTCATAAAACAGTAGCCAAGTTACTGGTTGACCGGCAGAACACCTGGAGTCGCATCACCCTAGTGCTTTGGTGTGTGCATTTAGGCCAGTGGCTTCATTTTTCTAAACATTAGTTTCTTTCTTTATAAAGAAGTGGGTGTGGCTATGTGCCAATATAGCTTTCTTTTCAAAAACAGATGGTAGGACCCATTTGGTCCATGGGTTGAACAGTGTCACCCTTTGCCCTACAGTGATTATGAGGTACAACCAGTGTATGAAATGACCTTTGTCTACCTTCAGAGCCTATATACTTTGCATTAATCTCTACTCTCTCCCTAACAGGTTTTGAGCTTAGAAAAAAAACCAATAATACCCTGCTAGATGGTGGTTTTCAGTTTCCAAGCTTTAAGGAGAATTCATAGCTTATCACCTTGCACAACAGCTTACTCAGGGGCAGATTCTTGAATTAGAGGCTTTGTGTCTGGAAAAACACAAAGACAGGCCTTGCATGCTTGGCCCTTGTGAATGAGGACAAGCATGACATCGGTATGCCAGATGTCCTCCGATTGCTCCTTGATACTCACTAGCCTGGACCATGAACCATGTCAATACTTTGGATTTACGCTGAGGGTTCCAGAAGAGCTTCTCTCTAAATCACTCTCTATTTACCTCCAAGCAGGCAAGAAGCCTGGCACTACCCAAAGGTGAAGAAATCACTTAAAGCAGGACCCAGAGCGAGGAAAGAAGAATCTGGATGTGGCCAATGCCCGTCAGTAAAGCCACACTCCATTAGCATTGAAAGATAGCCCAATTATCCTCCATTTCAGTGTGCAGAAAAATGATGCCACAACGTGACCTCATACCATAAATCCCACACCCGTAAACACTCCCTATGCAATCAGTTGCTGCTCCAAATTGGTCTCATCTAAGGGAAACCGATAGTCAGTTCTATCTGTCACCTAGGGAGATAGAAGCACTTACAGAATGAGACCGTTCTCTGCTGCCTCAGCCATTTGTGGAGAGGAAGATTGGGTTCTAGTTTAGTGAATGTGCTGGCTCTCAACCTGTAATAAGGCACAACTTAGTGATGGAAAGACACCCAGCCTTTAGCCCATGAGCATGATTTTGCCAGCTCAAAAGGGTGAATAAAAGTCCTGGAGTTCAAAATCAGGACGCCTGCTTTCTGTTTTTGTGTAGGACTTGGGCAATGGTACAGGGAGGCGTTCTGGACCCAGAGTCAGATGACTTGCTTCAAAGTTCTAGTTCTCACAGTGATCGGCAGGGTGGTCCTGTCCAAAGTCCCTTCCTGTGGCAGAGAAGGCTCTGTGTGTTCCCAAAGCCATTCTCTGCTCTTCCTGAGTACACCATTGGGCTATATGTCCCAGCTCCTGGCAATTGGTCAGGCCATGTGGCTGAGTTCTGGTTAAGGGAATGTGGGTGGGAGGAAAGAAGGTCACTTCTAGGCCTGGATTCAAAAGAACCTCCCCTCATTCCTTCTGCCTTATTTAGAAGCATATGGGATCTTTCCAGGGACCTGAAAGACCTAAAGTAGCGGTTCTCAACCTGTGGGTCGCGACCCCTTTGGCGGTCGAACAACCCTTTCACAGGGGTCGCCTAAGACCATCCTGCATATCAGGTATTTACATTACGATTCATAACAGTAGCAACATTATAGTTATGAAGTAGCAACGAAAATAATTTTATGGTTGGGTCACAACATGAGGAACTGTATTGAAAAGGGCCAGAAGGTTGAGAACCACTGACCCAAAGGCTGATGAAGGAGCCAGGTTTCCTGAGTGTAGCAAAGCCTGTTTCGATCTCCCTGTTCCTTCCACCACCCTCAGTTTGCCAACCGGACCTGATATAAGTGGTTTAAAGCATTGAGATTGAAGGAGTGATCTACGTAGTTAGACTATATAGTTAGTGTTAACATCTTAATAACAACAATGGTGATAGCAACAGCCTTACATTAAGATAGCATTGGACCCTCATGAACTATCTCTTATGGTCTGCAAACGGTAACATTATAAGTTCCATTAGTGTTCCCATTTCAGAGTCGAAGCTGAGACAGAGTGGGACACCTTTTCTAATGTCACACAGTGAATGTGGCGGAACTGTGACTGGCTTGGAACCCCAGTTTCCTCTGCGTAGTAAAGATGGTAATGATCCGCCCCATCTACCCAAAATGTTACTGTATGTGTCACAAGAGTTAGGATGTAGAGAGACTGGAGGACTAAAAGCATCATATAAATGATAGATGTTGTTATTATTGATCTTTCTGAGCCTTGGTTTTTATAGCTATAACATTTGTTCCAGTTAATCACCATTTTTAACACAGTAGCATGAAACATTTATGTGTTCCACAGAGGCAAGTGATGGTGACAATCTAACATTCCTTGCTATGTGAGTGGTATTTAGTGGCAATACGTGGAAGAGAGAGTGGAGAGCGTGAAAGATGCAGCAACAAGAAGGCGCTTAAGGATTTTTCTCTTATCTCATTCTCTTCTCCTCTCCTCCCTCCAAAAAAACATCTCCTCTGGTCTGTAATTAGGCATGCTAGCACTAATTGCTAGGTGGCATCCTACGTGACCCTGTCATTTCTCAAGTGGCTGATATAATGCTCAGGGTAGGCCAGGTCTCAGGACCTAAGAAAATGAGAAAAATCAGCTTTTATGGGTTTTTCTTTAAAGGAAAGATATAAAAGTATTCTAGAACATGTTAATTGATACTGTTGTTCGAGTCTGATATGATTCTCAGTTCACGCTATATCTTAAGACATAAAGAGATTGAAAAAAATCAGGTTTGATGACTTTACCTTTGGAAAAAGAAAACATAAGTTATTATACCATATATCAGTTGGTTCTGAAGTTTAACTCAAACTCAAAGGGAAACATTTATGACAGATTTTTGGATTACATTTTTTAGCATGTCTGCCATCTAGTTTTAACTTGAATATCACAAGCTATGGAGTTCTGATGTGTTTCTGACTTGCAAAAATAATGTTTTATTTGGCCGGGTGGCCGACGTGGAAGTTTCTGGCTGACTAGGCTTCCAAGGAAACCGCCTCCGAGCCACCCGAGGCCAAGTCAAGGGGAGGTGGAGGCACCGGGGATCCAGAAGAGTCGCTGCCGAGGCCGGGGCCTGTCTCTGATGATTGACAAGGGCGGACAGGCGCTTCATCATGGGTGGCTTTTTCTCAAGTATATTTTCGAGTCTATTCGGAACCCTGGAAATGAGGATTTTAATTTTGGGATTAGATGGAGCAGGAAAAACTACAATTTTGTACAGATTACAGGTTAGAGAGGTTGTTACTACTATTCCTACCATTGGATTTAATCTTGAGACGGAAACATACAAGAACCTTAAATTTCAAGTCTGGGATTTAGGAGGACAGACCAGTATCAGGCCACACTGGAGATGTTATTATTCGAACACAGATGCCATCATTTATGTAGAAGACAGTTGTGACCGAGACCGAATTGGCATTTCCAAATCAGAGTTAGTTGCCATGTTGGAGGAAGCAGAGCTGAGAAAAGCCATTTTGGTGGTATTTGCAAATAAGCAGGACATGAAACAGGCTATGACTCTCTCAGAGATGGCAAATTCACTTGGGTTACCTGCCTTAAAGGACCGAAAATGGCAAATATTCAAAACTTCAGCAACCAAAGGCACTGGCCTTGATGAGGCAGTGGAATGGTTAGGTGAAGCATTAAAGAGCAGACAGTAATCCAATCACTTTTGCTCTTCTGAAATGAAGACCACATCCCATGTCCCTTTGGAAATAGTTAAGAGTGCTTCACACTGCTAAATGTTAGAGCTGTGTGTGATTGTTGGCATATACTGAACTGACTACACATTTGTAATAAATATAAAAAATAAGTATTTGGTTGGAAGGATAACTCATCATGATTGAACCAACTGACTGGTCTGTATGATGTAAAACATTCCTTCCTTGCTTTCTTGTATTATTAAGGTGTATATTCTATTTGTGTGGAATTCTTATTCAAATACAGTCCTATTAAAGAATGCACTCTTATTGAGGGGGGAAAAACACTGTATTTTTGAGTGAGTGGTTGCAGATTATTTGTATAAACACTAATAAATACCTTAGCTCAGATTTTTTCCCCTCTAAAATGAATTAAATTTTTCCAAAAATTAGACTCAGTAGGGTAGTCTAGGAACATAGTGTGAGTAATATAGTTTTCATTTGCTCAGTAACCACTTTATTTAAACTGTTTCATTTAAAAGCTTTTGGTTATAGGCATGAAGTTAAAATAATTATTTTGATAGTTAACTTCACTGATGTATCTCTAATTGTTATTTTATAGTACTTTATAGTTGAAAAAATTCAATGTATATTGATACCTAGTCATTTTTTACAAGAACCCTGTGATGTAGATAGGACAGCTTGTAATGTAATGTTTTCATTTTATGGATATGTTGAATCTTGGGTTGATAGTTTGGCTTGCCCAACTGCTAGTAAGCAGGGAGCTGGGCTCAGAGTGAGACTTCAGGGTCAGAAGCTTGTCCCATGAACTACACCATATGTAAGTTCAAATGATATAACTCCCTACATAAAATTATGCTAACTGAAGTAGACTGTACATTTAAAATAATGCCTGTAGTAAAAACAGTCCTAAATGATTATATTTGATGAATTCACAACATATTTTTAAAATATCACATTGAAGGAAATGAAGATATATTTTAAGAAACATTGTAAAAAAAAGTTTTATTTACCTCAGAGAGTGACATCCCATAGAGTGTGGCATTGGCATCAGGGAATTTCTTTCTTTCTTTTTAAGCATATTTTATTGATTTTTTTTTTTTCAGAGAGGAAGGGAGAGGGGTAGAGAGTTAGAAACATCGATGAGAGAGAAACATTGATCAGCTGCCTCCTGCACACCCCCCACTAGGGATGTGCCCGCAACCGAGGTACATGCCCTAGACCAGAATCGAACTTGGGAAGCTTCAGTCCACAGGCTGATGCTCTATCCACTGAGCCAAACCAGCCAGGGCAAGGGGATTTCTTATACATACACAATGTGGTTCTGCTTGGCATTAAGAAAGATCTAGAAACTTTGAGGTTGTGTTCCTGCATGACAATTGCTTAGAATTACAGAATGTTGCACCCCAGATAGGCCCTGTACTCCCCACTTTGCCACAGTCTCTATCACTCTGTATTGCCTCTCAGCATGGTAGCCAAGTGTCAGTTCCCATTTAACCCCTTCCATCTTGACTATTTGCCTCCTTTACACCAATATTCTGCTCCCTGTACTGAATCCACTACCTCTGTTTTTTAATGTAGCTTTTGTTGGGAAGCAATATTTGCTACTATGAATAAAATTAGACCTTTCTCCTTCCTGTTGTTCTGAAGCATAGAGAGTGAACCACTCATTCTGCCATTAAGTCAACCTTTCCAATGTCTGTTCAGATACTACTTGTTTAGCATTAAAATCCTCCCTTACCACTCCTTCTCTTTTTGAATATCCTTTTATTTAAACTCATCTTTAAACTCTTCCAGGAAGTCTTCCATAGTCTCAACCACCTCAACAGACAGGGCTGTTTTTTCTTTAACTCTTTGCATACAGCACTCTCTGTTCATTTCTGTCAAAGAAGTTATCTTTGCAATTATTGATTTACTTGTTTATTCCACTGAAATATAAACTTGGAAAAATTATCACCCCTCTGTATATGTCATACTCTATCCAGTTGTCATGCCTTTGCATATGCTGTTTCCTCTTCCTAGAATACCCTTTCTTATTTACAGCACTCTTCTTGGCACAACTAAATGCTATGCATCTCTTAGAGCTTCTCAAGCGTTGCTTTTTTAGTGAAACTTTCTATGGAACCTTCATACAGGCTTGATTCCCCTAACCTACACTCCCATAATGCAATTCTAGACATAGTACCTATCACAATATGCTCTACCTCTCACACAAGAATGTCAGGAGGCTCTTGATGTAAAGAGAATTAAGTAGTATGCCTGGTATATAATTGAATATATATATATATATATATATATATATATATATATATATATATATATACACACACACACACACATACACACATACTAAAGGCCTGGTGCACAGATTCATGCACTGGTGGGGTACCTCAGCCTGGCCTGTGGGGATCAGGCTGAAACTGGCTCTCTGACATCCCCTGAGGGGTCCTGGATTGCGAGAGGACAGTTCTCGGGTGATGCACCTTGTAATCGGACTCCATCCTCTCTGGTTTCAGGTGTGTCACCGGAGAACTGCAGCTGCCAAGTCACCGCAGCTCAGCAGCTCCTGCATTGAGCATCTGCCCCCTGGTGCTCAGTGCATGTCATAGCTACCAGTCAGACGGTCAAACGGTCAGATGGTCCCTTAGGGTTTTATACACACACACACACACACACACACACACACACACACATTCACACATGAAAGGAAAAAAGAAGGAAGGAAGAAATTCCTTTGTGACAGAGTAGACTGATATCCAAGTTCTAGTGTTACCCTGTACTTTCTTCCTTTCCATTCTAAGTCCAGCTGGGCTACTGCTCATTGCTCATGGAATACCATTGATATGACCTGCCTGCTTTCCTACCTCGATTGTCAAGTAATTTCTTATGAAACTATTATGTAGTATTTTATTTGGTCAGGCAACTTCTCAGTGGCTTTTCTTATTGCTTGAGTCTCCCTATCTTGCATTTGGAAAGGCCCTAGGTACAAGTCTATAGTTCTGTTGTGTAATTTAGTGTTATGCATCCCTTCTTGTTCTCCATCATATCACCCATCTTTTATCAGAATGGTATCTGTAATCATTAAGGCTCTTTTGGAAGCCAGTAACAAAAAATCCATTTTGGATAAGCTTAAACCAAAAAATAAAAATTAAAAAAAATTAGATGTCCACCCAGATGTCATATAGGACAACTATGTCATAGAAAGGACAGGTTTTCAACTGAACCTAAGGGACAATCGCACTAAAAAGCTTTGAAGTCATCATGGCGTGCTCTTTACCTTAATATCTTCATCTAACAGCTCAAACTAATCAACTTAATGCCCTATGTCCCAAGCCTAACATTCCCAGGAGAGAGCCCTGAGCAGTTTGATGATGGTTTCTTTTCCTTAGAACCGTCAACTCCAGTTGAGAGGAGTCACACTTTTTACAAAGCACTGCTTCTGCGGTTGACATGTGGGAAGTGGAGGAAGGGCCAGGAAAGCAGTGTGGCCAGTCTATTCCTTGGCTAGACATTTGGGAATTGGAATCTATTTAATTGACAGTTGCTTATTAATATCTACCATATCTAGATACTAAAAAATGCAGTAATTAATAAACTAGATTAGATCACTCCTATGGTGAAATCAACATTTTTTCCATTCATCAAAAATAATTAGTGGACACCTACTATGTACAAAGACTGTGCTGGGAACTATGATGAGGTGAAAGCAAAAGATAGGGTGTTTGAACAAGTAAGTGTTACATAGAATTGGCCAGTCTAGTCATTTTTTTCAGACATTCACTGAGTATATTGCACATGCCATTGTGTTAGGCTGGATTCTGAAGGTATAGAGATGAATGAGAAACTGTTGTGGTTATTAAGATGTTCACAGACTGGAACGGGAGCCTGACATCTAAACAGTTCATTTCAACCCAGGATAATTCAATATTTTCTGACAAAACTCTAGAAAAGTGGAGAAACCTACATGAAGCAAACTGTTTTAGAAGAATCCAGGAAAGAGAGAGAGTATAGTTGGCAAAAAAAAAGTCTAAATATAAAGAAGAAATCTAGTCCCAGTGGATGTAGCTGGAACAAAGATGAAAGCAGAGGGTACAGGATAGATTTAGAACATGGGGACAGCCAGTCAGGAATTTTGATATAGATGTAGAAGATAAACACATAAATGTAGGTAGGACTAGATAATGGCATGTTAATAAGTTAAGATATTTTTGTTTAACAACAAGAAGTAACTGAATGTTTCTGAGCAGGCAATACCTTTTTAAGTGGTTACCTTATAGGTGGGCTACTTCTTGGTGTTCCTGCTAGTGGAGTGGGTTGGTATTATTTGGGGGATGGAAAGAGGCAAGGATATGCTTAAAAACTCCTGTAATGGAGATTATCTTCCCCTTTAATTTCTGTTATATTTTCATAGCTTTTGAGGGACTGAACTTATATTGCAGCTCTGCATGTTATCATGTTTCCAATGAAACTACAAGGTCTTTGAAAATAGGAGTGTTGTTCTTTTTTGCATTCCCTAAAGCCTAACACAAAGTCCTGTTTAAAATGGGTTCTAAATGAATATTGAACAGATGCAAAATTTGATAGAGGAATGAATGAGTGAAAGAATGAATGGTTCCAAGAGAGGAATTTAGATTTCCCATAGATGAGTGTCCTTGCATTTGTTCACATCTTGAGCATCCTAGAGAGACCATGCATCACCGTACAAACCTTGGCTGTTACTTTCTAAATGTTTGAACTGTACACGTTACTCTATTTCCTGAGCCTCTACTTATTTTTTTTTTCCTGCCGAAATGGGGCTAGTAATTCTCACTATCTCACAGTGGTAGTGTGAAGAGGAAAAGAAACACCGTGTATAAAGCACTTAGCTTGTTTGTTACTAGGACAAAGAGAGAACCATTAAGTGGTAAGGTTAGTATGTTTTCAATAGCCTACTAGTGATAGACAGGGCTGAAAATGGACTCTTGCCTTTTCCCGTCCTTTTATTTAGTCAGTCATGCAGT